GTTACGGCAGTTATGTGTTCCCCAGGAACCTGCCAGCGTGAGGAATCCCGAAACCAGCCTGAATTCCCATGCCAGCAGAAAGCACAGCCAGCTTGCAAGAGGCGACGCAACCCTGTGGCGTGCGTCAGAGCCAGGCCGCTAACCTGGCCTTGGGGGAGCCCCTGCCGCCCCTCCGGCTGCCTACAACCTCCCGTCGCGGTCCCGTTTGGGCTGCAGTCCCTCTGGTATCAGCTACAAGGGTGTGCGGTGCCCGGGAGACCTGATTCCTCCAAATGCCACGAGATGCAACCAGCTACCGACGGGCCGGCGGTACCTTTAGTGCCCCTTCTTCAGCTTATTCATCTACAGCAAGATACCCGTGCTCTGGGGCACTCAGGGGAAAGGAAAGGAGGGTGAAGGGAAGCAAAATGTTAGATAACTTTGCTTTGAAATATTCCCACCACCAAGGGACTGAGTAGAAATTGCTCCTTTCTCCAAATCTCAGTTAGAGCTTTCAGTATGAACTGACAAGTGTTAAGTCATTTCTTAATAAAAAAAAGTCATCATGTGTCAATCCGCTCTGGGTGAAAACATGGGAAAGAATCATAAGAGAAATATGATGCTTTGCCACCAGCTGCATGTGTCGCCACTCAGAGAGGATGAAAGGAAGACCCAGAGACCGGTGGCAGGGTCGTGCCAAAGGCTCCCGAGTCCCTTTTGAAGCTAACGCGCTTGGAAGTGCATCTCATACATCTTGGCTTGTCCTGAACGCCGCCTTCGCTTCAGCCACCATCGCTGAGATTTGCTAAGAGGAGCAAAGAATTGAATGGTGAGGTCAGGACGAAAGAGCAAACAAAACAAAAACAAAACACGTCTCATAAAAAGTACATCTCATATGTAAACATACAGGAAAGGGGGGTCTCTCAGGCACGGGATCAACCACGTTACTGTTTTAAAAATGACGACTATGACAAAAATGAACAATACAACCTCTGTCGTCAACAACAAATAATAATAATCACATCACAGCTCTTGTTCACATGGCTGATGCCGGCCGACGCACGAGGAGCACGCAGCCCCCGCGCCTGCCCAAGTCCCCGCGCTTGTGCTGTAAACCAGACTCTCACGTGCCACGCACGGCTCTGGTGTCGTCCCGGAGCTCTTTGGTGGTCAGAGGCCCTACACTGGTGGGGAGGGAAGGAGAGGAGACAACAGGAGGTTTTGGTTTTGGGGTTTGTTTGTTTTTTCCAGTTCAGTCTTCCTGCATTGGCAGAGAGATGGCTTGGACAACTCCCTGGTCCTTTCTCTTCTCTGAAACATTTTGCAGAAGAAGGGTGAGCTTTCCGTAACTTTTGAATGCTTCGTGTGAGGAAGAGGGTGCGAGTGAGATGACTGAGAAGTGTTCTGCAAGAAACAAGAAACAAACATCTGATTCCACAAGTCCTTTTTTTTTTTTTTCCCCTATGTACAATCCACATACTTAAAACATACGAAAGGAACCACATCAAGCGACAACTTCAAGGCTCGTGGACGTTCATCTTGAAATGTAACATAGGTCCTGGTCCATCTTTGCTTGATGTTTGCCCATGCTTGCATGCAGAGGATCCTGGTTTGCTTTTGATTTGGGAGACTTTGGTTTATCTTTTCCCTAGGCATCATTTTGCTCTATTCACTACCAAAAGGAGTAACGTAACGGTGGCTGATTAAGGTAAAGATATCGCTGCCCACTTGAGTTCCTCCTAGTAGGGTCTCCAGACCGACTCATCCATCCTCCCAGTAGTTGTCATGGTCGTTGGTGAGTTACTGTGGCTCCCGTCCGCATCCACCCCGTCATTCTGGTTGCCCAGGTTGGGATTCATTAAGTTGTTCCCCGCTGAGGCACTTGTACAAGAAGAGAGCATCCGGGTGGGCGAGCGCTCGCCGCCTGCCACCATGGAGAACTGGTAGGAGCCCGAAGACGTGCCGTAGTATAAATGGTAGGGAGAGGGGTTGGCCTGGAAGGGTCCACTTTGGTTTTGTGTGGAGCCAGGGTAAGGGGGCGGCAGGTAAGTGTGGTGGAAACGCGTCGTGGTGGGCATGCTGGTCATGCTGATGCCCCCGATGCCCGTGGCAGAGGGTGTCGCGGTGTAAGGGAAGGCAGCGGACATGGCGCCGGGGTAATGCATCCGTGGGTCAGAGAACCTGGTTTCAGTGAGAGCCGGCAGCGTCGGGAAGGAGCGATCGAACTGTCGGGGGTCAGAGAAGGGGCTCAGATCTGATGTGCCTGTTGGGGTGGAAGAAGAAAGTGGGTGGTTAGAGCACTATCCTTGAGGTTTGCAGAGTTTGTCCTAAAGCCTGGGCCATCCCCTGCCCAAGGAACTGAATTCAGATTGAAAAGCATATCTTGGATCTGCCAGGGAAGAGAGCTGGGGAACTTAAATACAAAAATCCCAAACCCATCTGTTTAAGTTGTTCCCATTTCCTGCCCTAAAATTTGTTGTTTCCTATCCAAGAAGGGACACGACTAAGCTGACTTCTCTAGGGGTCTATTCATCTCTGGCAGATTAAAAAAACACACCCCATAAACACAGAAAAAAAAATGTTTAGCCATTACATCAGCTGTGTAGTAAACAAATGGACACAGGCCCCAGACGGCTGGTCCCCGAGATAGTCGGTGGTGTATATACACACACACGGAGACAGAGGAGAAAAGCTGGAGTCCAGACCAGCCTGCTAAGCCTTCTTGTGGGTGGCCTGTTCGTGCTGATACCATCAGGGTATGGAGCTGATAAACACACAGCTGAAAACTCCCAAGCTAGGAGCCACAATATCCCTCTGCTTGATTTCTCTGTGTATTTTTCTCCTTCCAAGAGGATAAAGAGAGTGAGAAATTCAGAGTTTCTTCTGCTGGGGGAAGGGAGATTTGGGGCAGCATAGTGGGGATGTTAACGCAGCTCCCTTGGATGTTGGAGCCCCCTCCATGCCTTTTCCTGGGGGGGTCTAAACCCAAAGTGGGTTGCAGCCAGCTTGTAACTGGAAAGGGACCTCTGCCTGGTGCTGCCAGGTCCCATCCTTCTGCAGAAAGCCCAAGTTAGAGGTGGGAATCCAGACTAGCAGATCCTTTGAGGACCATGAGGCTTTTCTGTGGCGCTCTCAGCTCTCCTGAGCCCAGCGCCAGTTCCTTACAGAGCCCAGCACACCTCTGGCCTTGGCACGTCTGAGACAGAGAGAAATGAGTTTTGCTCTCCAAGTAGAGATGCGAAACCCTTGTCCTCAAGACCTCAGTGGCCCGCGCCAAGCTCTGGCACTGGTTATGCAGGAGGACACGGCTAGAAACACTGCGACTGCGCCTTTCTCAGCCTTTTAACGCCCCTCGTGAGATGACAAGCTCTAGAAAGAGCAGTTCTAGCCCAAAGCGCCGGGCTGGTGCATCAAGCTCAAAGCCTTGGCCAGCTGGAGGTGGCTCTTCATCCTTTCGGTTTGCCTCCAAGACCCCTATTTTTCCCTTGCTAAAAGCAGGGGCATCGTGCCTTTCTGCTTTGGCAGTGGATGTCATCTGGCCTCAGTGACTTTTTTTT